TTCCTTCCTTCCTTCCTTCCTTCCTTCCTTCCTTCCTTCCTTCATTCCTTCCTTCCTTCCCTCCAGTGGTGGGATTCAGCCAGTTCGCACCTATTCGGGAGAACTGGTTGTTAACTTTCTAAGCAGTTCAGAGAACCAGTGGTTGGAAGAAATCTCATTTTGTTTTTTTTTTCCCACTTTACAGGGCTAATCCTGTAAGGAAGGCAGGAAGGAAACATTCTGGTGTTGTTTCTAGCCTAATCTTTATTGCCCTGCCTACAGAAACTGCCTCTCCGGTTAACCCTTGTAACAACTAAGGCGAATTGCCCATCGACCTGAGTGACATTGACTTAGCCATGCCCACATGATCACCGAGCCCCACCTACCCAGCTGGTCATTAGGGCAGAGAACTGGTTGGTAAATTATTTGAATCCCACCACTGGGTTTCTTGTACCTCAATGGAGGAGTAAGAGACATAGGCCAAAGGAGAACCTATGTGATATATTGATTAAACACAGTTCACATGTGTGTGTATATACAAGCAGAAGATCCCAAATAAAGGAAACAAGGCTTTATAACTGATAAGGAAACAGGACAACCAAGAAGATACAACCGTAATGTAACCAAGCACACATTCCTTGAAATGCAATGTAACAGCTTTAATACATGAGTTGTGACAAGGCTATGATTGTTATTCTTAACAGACTGAAATTGTGTTTATAACTAGAAAGGATAAAGAGTTACTGTAGCATATTTCCTCAAGCCCTCTCAAGGCGTGAACTCTGCAATTAATTCATCATTACAAAGTAGATTGCCACAATAATAATAAACATTTGATTCTTAAAGATATTACATGACAAATAAGGCAATGGATATCTATTAGTATAAAGAAGCATATGTATATTTATCTCTCTGTCTCTCACACACAAATATTATATAAATTAAGCATAATAAGATAAATTTATTACATAATCGATTCAACCTGAGTTCTTATTCCAGCTCACTATAATCCTCAAGTAACTGAGGAGGCCGATTCTGATTTTTTTTTTGTTGCGATTCCCTCATATCTCTTCTGAAAGCTTCTTATGTAGATTATTGACATTCAGGGAAAGGGCTAGGATCTCTGTTACATGATCATAGTGAAAATAATGCGGTATTTGATGCTATCCATTTTCTAATTCAGATATGTGTAACTTTAGCTGAGAAGCACTGAGAAGCACTGACTACTGAGGTCACACTCATAATCTGTTTAAGTGTGAGTGACAATTTAGGTAGCCCTCCTCCTTTACCAAATTATGATTTAAGTTACCAAGTCAATTAAATTGGTGTTGGGATGGACTGTATCCAAAAGATGTAATTGAAGAAATGACAGAGCTTTAACAAATTATTTGACAAGATAGAGATGGTATTAAGAGCCAAGGTGGCGCAGTGGTTAAATGCAGCACTGCAGGCTACTGCTAGATCAGCAGGTCAGCGGTTCAAATCTCACCGGCTCAGG